AAAAAAAAAATGCAAAAGTACATTTTTAAATTGATTTTAAAAAAATAACGGAAAAGTAATGAAAAGTTTTTTTTCAAGTAACGGTAACTGTAACGAGTTACTTTTAAAAAGCGATAACTGTAACTGTAACTAGTTACATTTTTTACTCGGTAACGAGTAACTGTAACTAGTTATTTTTAAAAAGTAACTTTCCATTCCCTGGTTATAAGTATACATATAAACGGACGAACGCGCGGTTTTTTTTTCAAAGAGTAGGTACGCCTTGAATGCAGCCACGCGACAATCGAGATATCGCTGCGCCTTTGGTAATGCACACTGTCCGTCCGTCCGCCTGCAGTCAGTCAGTCGAATGATCGCATTCGCACTTTGCAGTTTGCACTTCTACCTGCGAAAATAAAATCGTCAGAATGTTCAAAATTAACGTAGCATTACGCAATATTCCCATCATCGCTTGTAGAAGGAAACGCTGTTTTTCCGACGTAACGTCAACAGCAGGGAAAATGACGGCTATCGACAACGATGGTGAGTTTAATAGTCTCGCGCGTATCATTTATTGAATTGCGTCGCGTTTAGTTCATTAAATGGCGGCGATCGGTTGAGAACTATCAAACGATCGCGCGACTACACAGGCATCTTCGCGTTAACGCAGCAAGTTGAGGGAATCTTACTTTTTATTCACAGTACAAAATTATTTTCGTACTGCTAAAAGTGCGCGATCGCGCGCTGAATTCGTAATGGCACTCCGAATACATTCGTGATCATGATCTTAACTCGATTAATTTGCGAGAGGTGGCGCCACTGAAACGTGCGTAGGCGCTTGGAATAGTTTTGGTTTGAGAAATTGAGCTCGGGATGGCGATGCGTACGCGATTTCGATAAACAATTTGCGTAATTCCCGTTGCATCAATTGTACATTCAATTTAATAAGTATTTAATCCTCCCCGCCGAAAAAAATGATCGAGAGACGAGGGCATTGATACGATAAATTATGCCACAGAATACTTGCAGAAATCTGATATTGATGGCTAATTTAATATTGAAAGACAGCGACTGATTACTCATTTTAATTGTGAATATTAAAAAAGCACTATTATTCATTACTGTTAGTATTTTACTATAAATAAGTATTATTATAAATTACCAGTTTTTATTATTAGAGAGAGAGATCTCTATAAAGGAAAAACCGATATATGTAAATCGATACATGTAATTTCCTCTAGTTTTTAACAGATAACGATTAGTATAAATATTTATCGAAATATTTGTATGTGATATTTTATTTGAAAAATACGAAAGATTAAATCACTACACTATAATTTCTCAGAAGTCTTGAATTTTCTTTTAATAACCGCTGCACACAATTTTAATGCACTTCTATTTATTCCCTTATATTTAAATTTTCAGATTTACTGGTATCCGGAGAACCTGGGATAATTCTTGCGCCTTGAAAAGAATCTGTAGGATAACACGTTATCTCGACTATATCATGACAGGTATCACATACAATTTCGATTCGTGAGAGGAGAAATGGCGCCGAACATTCCGCCGAAAGTTTTCCGCAGGAATTCTCAGTATATACCCGGGACGATGCGTGCTCGCGATGGCGCGGCGGGACGGTCGGTCGGGTCCCTGACGATCCCTAAGTGAAATATCATCGGCAATCATTCACGCGAGATCTTTATCGCGCACGGCTAACGTGATCCCTGACCCCGCCGAACTCGGGAGCAGTTTTATATGCGGGCTCCCGCGGCGCGTGAATAAGCCGCAGCGGGCGTGGGTGCGGTTGCACGTGCGGAGGAGAGTGTCGTTTCGTTCGGGTGTATACTGCGAGCGCAGGACCGCAGGACTGGAATGTGAGAAATCACAGTTTCTTTCCTCTCTTGCGTCTCCCCCTGCAACGAGTGCGGCCCGAAAAGATCCGCAGCCGAGGAATCGCGCGCGCGCGCGGAGAAGTATTCCCTGACGATCCACACACACGTGCAAGGATACGACGATAAATAAGAGCTTCGGCATTTCGCGCGTTTCTCCTCGCACGAGCGATAGCGAGACATGACTTCCGATATTCGAGTATACCTATCTTATCTGTCAGTCCCGTCGGTCGATACACTGCGGAATGCGCGCCGTGGACAATAAAAAGGAAATAATAGAATACGCGCGTTAGAGCTGCGATAATCTCGAGTGTAACTCGGGAAACCCGGGTTTAACGTTGTCTTTAACTATAATAATATCTTTGCTGCTTCTTTGCAACAGAGAGACTGACTGATGTCTGTCTCTACCAAGATTTAATCTTGGTTGAATTTAGAGTTAAAATGAAATTACATTGCTTTGATAGAAACGGGTATGAGTCGAACTCGGCGCGATAAGGCAAACGCTATAGAGAAAAAGTCTCGATTGTTTGTAATTTCAGTGTTTACGCGTATTAAGCCACCTGTCGCTCATGAATAGAAGTCGAATCACGGCGAGACGCGCGCGTCTTGGTTTCGAAAGATGTTAATTAGGCTTTTACGGTACACGGCCAATTCCAATCTACATTGTGTGTACGAGGTGAATTCTCTCGCGGTAAGGAAATCGCGCAATACTTTTAGACCCCCCCCGGTACACACGTTGCGAAAAAGTGAAATGTGTTGTACCATTGCGTTTCCATTGTTGTGTCACGGGGAGGCGTAAAACGGGGCAAGGTTGCATTCGCGATTGTTCGGAAAGAGTCCCACATGTAAGTTCAACTCAGTTCCGAATCTTTCGTAGTTACGCTTCCTTCTGCCCCTCCCCGCCTACTGTATTTTATATGTTCTTTGGATTACATTTTTTATGCAAGGGTGTTCATATAAGCGTAACGATCCGCACGGTTTTTTAAACCCTTCCTAAAAAGGAAGGTTAAAGTGGAATATTTATTTGTTTATTATGTCAACTATAATATGCTGTAGAAAATTGTTTTAATTAAGTGAAGATTGCTTTGAATTTTTTTAAACAGTATTTTTCCATAATAAGTATTATAGGGTTCAAGACGATCAATGCACTATCGACAATGTCACTTTTATTACTGTTTTATTGATTTTATTGATATACATAAATACATCATATACCTATCATAAATATCCATTAATAATGAAAGATTATGGTCGCTTAACTCATGTATGCACGAATAGTTCAAGATTATCTTCAAGATATTTTTCGAAATCGTTATAAATATACAAGGTATTCGTGCGTATCAACATTGTGTTTATGTATATCGATAAAATCAATAAAACATCAACAAAACACATTCTCCATAGTGCGTTGAATTCATTTCGAAGAATCCTACAATATTATATGAAAAATAATTGTATGGTGATATTTAAAAAATTCAAGATATTCGAGACCTTCTTTTATTAAACATTAAAAAAAATTTTTTTATCGCATGTTGCAGTCCATATGAAACAAATGAATATTCACCTTTCGATCTTTCTTTTTGACCACATTGGAAGTGTCTAAAAAATCGTACGGACCGTTACGCTGATCACCCTGTGTATATTTTGCTTTGATCAAATTTTTTTGATCAATTTTTTTCAAATTGAAGCTCTATAATTCTACATTTAAAATTCAATTAGACAAAACATGTTTACAACGAATAATAAGGTAACGCGTAAAATATGAATATATATTTAACGGAATCCGTGAAATTAACTTAGAACTCTACGCGCTGTTAAATCAGTAATGTCAACTTTCTACGACGATCGCAAAACATCCTGAAATATATAATGATATCTCAGCAGCGTAAATGAAAACGTTGCGGTAGTAAACGAGCAAGGCGATGACGAGAGAAAGAAAGGAGTATGGGTGGACGTTTCTCATTGTGAAAATCTCCGGAATCCCTGACCTCCGGGTGGCTGCTCGCTTTAATTACGTTTGTCATTTCGTCGACCGGTGTCTCATTATAAAGAAAGTTCGAGACATAACTCAGCACTTGTTGCGAACTTAGGTGGCCTCTTTCTAGTAACGGCACTAACCAGCCCAACCAGACGATCACAGCAGCAACCAAAGTAAGCAACCAACCAACCAACCAACCAACCAACCGACCGACCGACCGACCAGCCAGTCATGAGCCCCCTTTTACCTTACGTATAGTCCTCCGCGTGCCTCTCTTCGCATCGCCGCTCTAGATCTTCGGATAAGAGCGAACACCATTTTAGCGGTTCCTTACACACCAGACATCCGCTCCCTTCCTATATATATATACGGCGGCACTCGCGAGAGCTTGACTGCATTTTTTTGCCGCGTGAATGTGTCAAGCGATTCGCGGCAGAGAAGGGTGCGAAGAAAGAGGATGATGACAGACGAGACCAATATATGGAAGAAGAACTCGGAAAATAGGAAGGAATTAAAAAAGAATGAGGACCTGTCGGCCGAAACACTAAAGATTCTCAAGATAAGACATCATACGTTTGATCCGTTATATTTTTATAGGATCTGATATAGAACGAGATATCCATCAGAATCTCCTTCTATCTCATTAGTCTATCTTAAGCAGGTCTTAAAAATATGGCAAACCAATCAGAAAAAACGTTGTCTAAAGTGTGTCCGATCTCTTATTTGAAGATCTCTAGCCGAAATCTTCTCAAATCCTTATATATGCTGAGATTCGTACGCGTGAGAGCGAAGGAAGTAGAAAACGGGATAGCGTACCGTTTTGCGCGCGATAAGGGATTCGTTGTTCCCCGTTTGTTGCTCCAAGAGCGACATTACGTCGGCGCGTTTCTTTTGCCGGACCAATGAACGCGCTACCGTTTTCGATTAATCTCCTCTTATCTCGGTGACTGCATCTCGGCGGCTTGTATAGAAATGCTGTTAAATATCGAACTGTCGGGGGGGGGGGGGGGGGATGGTGAGGAATCGATGTACATATATATTATCAATAAGATTTAATCGCAAGTATATATTGATTTCCTGATTAAACTGATTTGTCGTAATCTTGAAATCGATTGACTATTATTTCTGAGAAGAAACGTTGCTCTTGAGTTTTTCTCGGAATTTTAAGAGCGGATGTTGCTTATCTACGAGGACTTATGCTGTTTTCCTGTAACGTTACTTCGTCCGCGAGATACCTAATCGCGCATGCTTCATATTCAGGTTAATTTCGCATTTAATTGTAGATTTATCTGTTTACAAGACCTATCCGTTGTACAGTTAGAGAGCGATAATCAATCTCACACCGCGAACGGTGAGAAGATCCACTTTAGGAGTAGTGAGATCCGTCATTTCATAAAATTACCCGCGCCACAAAGTGGAGAAATCATATTTATAATTATGGCAGCGTAAGGAATAACTGACACGCCGTAAAGCTGGTAGCTATAATTATATAGTGTAGAAAATTACGTGTGTGCATTTATTATGAGCATTAATATACTCAAATATCATAAGTAAACAATATAATTATATTACAATGTTCAGTTAGATAATCCATCGAGTTCGTTGTTCGGATAATCGAGGGGTTTTTTATATATGGATCATATATATACGTAAATCACATAGATAGTGTAAACACAGTGTGAAATAATCATAATTGATCTTTTCGCGGAGTAGATGAAATTTCGCAGGATATCGCGCGCGAGTCGCGATGGCGGCTTTTCGCCGCGGCGCGGCGCGGCGCGGCGTTTTCCCGCGAGTGACTCGCGTGCATGTAACTCGATTGCGATTTGCGTATGAATCCCGTCGGCTCGGCATTCGATCGCACATAAAATCTAGCTTTGCATGCTGATAAGAGGGGCCCCGCGCACACACCTGCGTGTGCGTCACACCGTGCGTATACGTACGCGCACGCATAAAGAGACCCCGCCGCGCTATATTACACCTCTCTCTCTCTCTCTCTCCCACCCCTCGTTTCCCCGACCCCTCCCCCCGTCTCCCTCTCGCGCTCCTTCTTTCTCTCTCCTCTAAGCGTGTACGCGCGCGCACGCAGATCCCGCGTGTCGATGTGGGTACGGTTATTAGCCCAGAAAGCAAGGCCCCTGCTTCCGGTGTAGGCACTTCAGTTCGAGAGTTTCTTAACCCCTTCTTACACGACTCTTGCTCGGCCTGGCCTGGCCTGGCCTAAGACTCTGCCCCGGCTTGGCCTGTTGTCGGTTGCGGGTGGTAGGTAGATACCGTGTAGAGGTACGGCAGCTAGATTATACAGGGTGTTCCGCGACGTATGCGACGAATTTCACTCGCGAATCTTTTGCGCGATTCTTCCTCTCTCAACTCATTCGACAATTCTCGAGCAAAACAAACAACCGAACTAATCTCAAACGTTTTCTTTCGCGAATCAAATTTCGTAGAAGACACGTTAACGGATTAATTTTAAACGAATATTAAAGGATAGTAGAATTTAACTTGGCGCCGACTATTGATATCAGATCTTTTATACAAATGATATATGTCATTAATAACTTCAATTATTTGTTCGAGTTGTTTCGTCTTAAGCTATAGAGGAGTAAATAATGTACATCTTATATTTCATTACTTTCTTAGATATGAT